TAGCTTTTTTTTTTTGTTCATTGAATCAGTAACACTAGTTGGCAAAGAAGGAAGCTTGTTATTTATAGCATATATTTTTTACGAAGGAAGGTTTCCCCTGCTTTTGTATTTCAAAAAGCAGAGGTTACACAGTTTTAAGTTTCGGCACGCTGACAGAATTCAAGGCCTACTTGTTGCCAAACGCCGAACAGCCAATGGCGCCAACTCTGATGATGTATTTTGTCGCTTCTTCCATCCTCAGGCGGCGAGTTTGCGTTGATATCCAGTTGTCGTGCGAAGTCTTCCATTTGAATCCCCATCTCCTGCTTGAACGTTGGTATCCAACGCCTTAGCATCCTGACGAATCTGCAGCAGTATCCTCTTCATTCCTGTCCATGTTGCACCCTGAAAATAGATTTCGTTCCTTAGTTTCCAAATTAACCACAGAACCAACGAAGAAACAGTATTAGCCCGGCTTATCATCCATAGTACAGTGTTTTTCTCTCACAATAAATCAACATCAGCCGGCTTATCAGCCGCAAAAACCATCAGCCAAACAGATTAGTTAACTTATATCGCTTATTGGCAACCCAAAACCGAGCTACCGATTCAAAATCTGCATCTATCTCATACCCCCAACAACTCAGAATTCAGAAATTATGTTCCATACATTCCTGGCAACACAGCAGTCAATGAATAAATGTGAAGACGGACTCTTGTTCAGAGCAGAAAATACAAGAAGGATCACTAATGTATCTTCGTTTAGCCAAATTATCTCTAGGCTTGTTATAGCATATCTATCAGATCAAATGGGAGTCAGCAGATTAATTGAAGTTGCATAACTAAAAATTAGAAGATATAAATCTTTGTAGCAGACTCGTATGGAGAAAAGCTAATTTCATTTCTCATTTGTTTGTATCATATATCAAGCAGTCATTTAAGAACACAATGGAAGCACCGGATTGGATCACTATTTTCTTTTCTGGGCATGTCCTCATGAGACGACCAAACTAAGCCTTCACCGTGAGCAGTAAGCTCGGGATGCGCTATGCAGACTAGTTGCAGGGATTTTTTTTCTCCCCACGTAGGCACATTAAAACGAGGACAACATGGCATGTAGGAGTAAGGTGCATGCCTTCTCCAAGGACATTCTTGACATCTGTTCCTAATATTAAGTTTCTATATCAAGAAAAAAAGTGCTATTATTGTAGCAGGTGTGAGGATGACAAGGGGGAATAATAAGAAAATAAAAGTAAGGCCAGGACGTGGGCCTAGTTAAGCGTTACTCAAGGATGTGTTATCAGGCCTGGCCCGCTAAGAAGGTCCAACCATAAAAAACAAGGAAGCGTTACTCGCCAAGATTTTTTTATATAAAAACAACGTTGCGAACTGTGAAATCCGGAGATGCGCCTAGCCTACCAGCAGCAAGTCATCTCACAGCACCGTTGACCAAGAGCACGCGTGGAGCACACATCGGTGTTGCTGTGTTGCTCACCGGCCGCCGGCGCACAGGCGGAGGCTGGACTCTGACAGCGGCCAGCGGGGCGGACGGGTAGGCAACGAGCGTGTTCAGCTGGTTGGTTTATACACTAGTTTAGGTTGGTTGTTGCTGATTTGATATAAGAGAAAAATATTGTTGGTTGGTTGAATAAGCCTGGCTGAAACAATCGAGCGAACAGGGTGAACGGCGCAAAGCACACGCGCACAGCAGCACTGCAGGTCTGCAGCAATACCCCAAGCACGTCAAAACGAGGACAACACGGCGTGCACGGGGGCATGCCATCCTTCATTCTTGGGTCGTATCGTATCTGCCATGTTTTTTCCTTCTTATAGGCTACTCCCTCCATCCCAAATTATTCGTCGCTTTTGGTTTTTGTGCCACACGTTTGACTTGATTTGTAGAAAATACATATAATATTTGTATCTTCAAATAAATTTATTAAAAAACTAGATTCAAAGATCTTTCTAATGATACCAATTATGTACCATAAATATTAATATTTTTTAATATATATTTTTATTAAAATTATTTCTCGAAAAACGAAAACGATATATATTTTGGGTTAGAGGAGAGCGAGTAGGAAAAAAAATGTGCCCCGTGGGTACGAGTACCGAGCACGATAGCCGTTTTCTGGTAAGAGTGCGGCGGCGACTGGAGTGAACCTGGTCGCTGAGGATTTTCAGCCCGTGTTTAGTTGGTATTTAGTTGGGTAAAAGTTAGAAATTTTGTTTAGTTGCTACTGTAGCATTTTTTGGAAAAAGTTTTCGCGAACTAAACAAGGGTCAGTGCCATTGATTTGTTGGTTTCGTAGGCACTTGGCCTCTTCCCAAGGTAGACGAGCTGGTGACGTCGTCGACTGAAATCCAATCCAAAATGCTCTCTTCGGATCGGCTCTTCAAATCAAGTAGTACTAGTGTGAGCGAAAGGGATGCTCGATTTCATTATTTTTATGTGCAAACGGGGCCAATTATATTGTACTACTAGAATATTCATGTTCTCGAACTTTTGGAAAATCCAACTCCAGCACTACAGCGAATTGACCGACCGGCCGATATTCCCATTGACTGGTGTGGAGACCGTCATATATGGGCTGTATGAGTATCGAAATTTCCAAATCCTGACGCCCGCATTCCGCGTGCCTCTGTTCCACCTGGCCGGCGGCCGGGTCACCACCGACGGCCTGTACGGTCCGCAACTCCACGTGAGCGACAACCATTCTCCATCGCATGCCGTCACTTCTCTCGGTTCGGAGAGCCAGATGGGCAAGCGGCTGTCGCTTTCCGTGCAACCTTGTGCGGGTGGGTGAGCAAAACGTTCAACGGGTCAGCAGGCAGCAGCTTCGGCTTGCACGGAACCTTTGATTGGGCGATGGGTCCATGCCTTGACCAACAACGCGCGGCTGATCATTGATAATAAATCCATGTAATTCTCACGAGCTGTTTGGTTCCTTTACAGTAACGCAAATGTAAAGGCCAGCTAGTTCAAATCTGTTCCCGCCGGTTCAATTTCATTTACGTTTGTCAGTTCAATATCCTTGGGGTATAGAACCAATATTGATCCCAAGATTGGCCATGGCCCAAGGGTAGATCAATTAGCCATAAACGATCAAACAAGATCTAGAGAGGACCAACCCCATCCCATTGCTACCATTAATCTAGCTCACAACACTACAACCAACAAAGACAAGCAATTGTCAGCATGTAGAACCAAACATCATACATAAAAGGTCAAGGTACACGCAGTTCGTCAGAGCATTATTGTAGCCATGGGCCCACATCACGAAAAGTGGTTCGGTTCTTTCACTGTCTTTTCTTTTCCAAATTCATCGATGTCCCACATCACTGAAAGGATTATTGATGCAGCATGATCCCCGTCCGAATCCACTGCTTCCCCCCCCCCCCCACTGTTGTATGTTGTCTCAAATGTCAAAGTATGAATGAAGCCACCTTTTCGATATAAACAATAGCAGAATACACATGAAGACAAGGCATTTCCACGATATTTATTTATTGCCAAATGCCAAGTCATAGTAGTAATAATGGATGACTGATGATAGTGAGGGGAAAACACAATCAGATAGCATGTGGTGGTACCAAGGAATAACAATGTGAATCAGTTGGATACAACAACCAACAATATCCCGGTCCCGTTCGCTGGTCTGAAACTTAGCTGAAACTGGCTGGTTTTGTGAGAGAGAAACACTGTAACGGCTGGTTGATGAACAGTGTTCGCTGAGGAGGATCAGCCGGCTGGTATGGTTTTTCCAGACCAGCGAACGCAGCCCCCATGGCCTGAATGGGTAGATCAATAATGATCCATATTGTATCAAATGGTTAACAATCGCATTTGCTAATACTAGTGTCACAACAGTGAGTAAAATTAACAGAAACTAGATCGACACAAAAAGATGGCAATTGGACCACAAAAGGCTGAAAATCGGGCTCAAGGTATAGCACCAGATATGATAGATTACACCACCTTACAAGTACCAATTACTAGCAAAACAAGTCCAAGTGTTCAACCATGCATGTTCTTTTACTGTGGCAACAATGTTGTAGCTGTAGTGTAGTGTGTGCGCCAATTTTGGTTTTCCGACATGCCAATTATCTGGTTCTGATTGCTCAAAGGATATGCTACGCCTCAACTGTCACCTGCACACAGAAAAATTGATAACGAACGAACATTCAGGGAATTTCTCAGCATGTCAAAATAACTGAACATTGCAAAGAGGTAACAAATTCACCTACTGTAAAGATGTAGAATTTTAATAAGGGGAAAAAAGGGTCAGTGGAAGTGCTGATTGATTGACAATCAAGTTCATGATTAATCACACGCGATGCCGCAAACCAAATTGGAGATTATAGGCGATCAATATCGGCATGTAAGATGTAAAGCGCCCTCTCCATAAGTGCGTCCTCCAACGTACTACGACGAAAACAACACCCGCAAAGCGGCGGCCGGCCAAGACCCAGGACCACGCGGCCGTGCTGCCGGTTGCTCAACAGCTGAAGTGCGTCCGCCTAGTTCCGGCCGTTCATCCTGTCGGTCCCAGAGTGCGCACTCGCACTCGAGAGTCCGTGAGACCGTCACCCCTGACCCGACGCCGTAGCAAAGCGCGCGGCCCTCACGGTCACGGTCACAGTGCAGGGCTGTCATCGGGCACGAGCAACGACCCGGCGAGCTTACATCCCGATCCCCATGTCCGGCGGCGGTTCCCACCTTGAGTCACTGAGATCTAGGCCGTCACCATTCACCAATCACCAATCCTTCAACCCAACCCAAAGCCAACCTAAAAACCTGGGGATCCGATGATGTTGGCTAGAACGCGACCCTCGGCAATCAGCATCGATCAGGGGCGTCGCTGTAACAACAGCTCGATCGGCCCAGGGGTATTGGGTACGTACGGTCCCAGGCTCCCCGCTTCAGATCAGAATTCCCATTGAAATCTCTTGATTTGAAAAGCCCAAATCCCAGAAATGAAGAGAACGACAGTAGCATTTCATAAATTAAGGAAATGAACTCACTTGGTGTTCACGTAGAAGTAGAACAAGGCGAGGATGATGCTCATCGGGCAGGCTAATGCAGCCCCGAGCGTCACATCGGCAAGAAGCCTGACGGTGGCGGGCGCCGGGGCCGGTCCGTTGCCAGCGGCAGCAGCTCCGGCAGCTCCGCCGCCGTTGCCCACGTGCGCATAGACGAGGGTGATGCCCAGGAAGAAGGTGACCGAGCCAACGCAAGGCAAAGCATGGGCAGCACCAGCACTGATCCCGAGCGCACGGGCTGCGGCGTCACCTGCCGCTGCGGGCTGCTGGACGAACAGGACGAACTGGAGGACGCCAACCTGCAGGCACAAGATGAAGAAGGCGAGCTCCGAGATGCGCCAGTTGCCGCTGCCGCCTGCGCCCACGGCGGCGTGATTCGTGTGGCCGCTGTAGATGACCGCCGCGGCGATGAAAAGGGCATCCATCCCGGCCAGCGCCAGCATGGCCGCCTTCAGAGCGCCGTCATCCAAGAGGGAAGGCGGAGCGGACGGGGATGCCGTGGCAGCAGCCGTGGTAGTGGTGCCCGCACTAGTAGTACCCCGCTGGTCGATGCAGGATGGGACTTGGAGAGCCAAGATCGACACGAGCAGGGCGAAGCAGGCGATGTTCCGACCTGAGGCCGCCATGGGGGTGTGTGGTTTCTTGTTCTCGTGGATTCGTGCTGGTCTCAGCGACGGGAACGAGCGAGCGAGGGAGTGGAACGGGAGGATGCCTCCTGGCTTCCGGCCATGGTGGTATTTATGGTGAACTGGGGAGTACCGAGGATTGGCATGGAAAAAGATGGCAAATCTGTGCGGTGCTTTGGTGGGTGGATAAGCTCCTCACTTTCACCGGTCTACTACTAAACGTGTAGTAATACGTAAAGGCTGTCATTTTAATGGTAAAGTACATCATCTAGTTTGCAATAGCGCATAAACAGATTCTGTCCGGAACTTGTCCAAATGAGAAGCATAAATAGAAGCCAGGATTTTGTTGTGTGTCACTGTCAAAGAAGCATCCAACCAATTTTGCTCTCTAAGTCATAGATTTTCAGTATTATGTCACATCATGAGTTCATGACATCATGTCATCATTTTAATAGAATTATATCTTATCTTCTTGTGTACTACTTGGAGTAATCTAGAGATGTCCATACGCTTGCTGATTGGAGTAGTCTAGAGATGTTCATACACTTGCTGAAACATCGATTCATATGCGGTTTAAAATAAACTGGGAACCTTATTAGTAGCTATTCAAATTGTCTTTCTTGAAAAAATCTATACATTTCACTCATTCTAAAATAGTAAGATATTTCCTCTTAATGAAACAGCGTCAACGGATGCGTTCTCGAAAAAAAAATAGTAAGATACCTAATGCGCACATTTTCAAATGATGGTCATTGTTTGCCATTGGTTTTACTAGCTCTTTAAGGCCCAGTTATCATTAACACAAGAAAAAACACATTATTTTGCTAATAATGATCCTTATATGGCACATTGGCATTAGTTTAACGAGAGGTCCGGCAACACACTTGAAACAAATTCAACCATTCCAAACAAAGAAGCATGGGTCAGATTAATTATCTTAAATCTGTCCGCAAATATGAAAAGGCATTGATCATGCAAATGTCAAGGTTTCAGAAATGTGATAGTACTCAAGGTATCGACAAATCTCCATTTGGATAGTGGATGCAGTAATCAACCTTCAGTAATCAGTAGTGGTATGCAGGATTGTGCCAAAAAAAAACGATCAAATCTTTGATTTTTGTAATACCACTGTATTCTATAGATGGACGAAAAGGGAAAAGAAAACTACAAAAGGATGTTTGTTGCAATACAGGGCAACCGGGGTCCAGGATCCACTAACTACATTCCTAGGTTGGGATTACTGAGCTCTTCTAGCCAGGTCGAGCTTTCCTCTCAAAACTTAAAAAAAATCGAGTCAAGCTTTTTGGCCCGCGGCGGTCATAAATCGTATCCAGTAGTACTTTTTGGCATGCACAATTAACACAGCCAGCAGCGACTGGCACATGTGATGTGACATGTCTGCTTTTGTACGGCTATGTACATCACCTGATCAGTGATCACCTTTACTTTGTTATAAGCAGATGGCCAGATCTATAAGTGACCTATTCCAATCTTTTACCTAGAAAGAATCGGACTGCTATGTGCTGTGAAAGGAAGTGCCTATTGAGCCAGCCCAAAATACGCCGAGAGAGCAAAATTAGCAGAAGATGCAGCAGACCAGAGCGAGGAATGAAACCTGAGACGGAGAGGCCAGAGGAACTAAGGAAGGACACCACTGGGCAAACCTGCCGGCTGCCGGCCTGCCGCGGTGCTAGCGCGGTGGCGCCGCCGCCCGCCCGGCCGGCGAGCGCAGGACGTTGCTGCGAGAGGTGCGCGAGCAAGCTGCTCTCGAGCTCCTCTGGCTGGGGCGGAGACCCGGAGTTGACCTGGAACATGGAGTCGTCGTCTCCTCGGAACCAAAATTTATAAGGCCGGCAAGGCTAGTGGAGTTCTGGCAAGAGTGAGAGGATGGCACATGTATCACGGATTCACGGTCATGGGTGTTGTCGACTTGTAGAGTTGTAGTCCTGAAATTGATTCTCCACCGCTTCCTGTTCGTAATGGTCCTGTAGCAGATGCAACACCAGTCGAGTTGCCTCCCGCCTTTGTAATCTTCACCATTTCAAAAACAGTCTGATCCTTGTTGATAATTTAATTTTGATTATAACTTGTCTACACCGATTTATGCTCTACTGGAAATACACTAATACAGGAGGTGTTGTCTTCGGCATACAACTCGGTGGATAGTTTCGAGTCAATTACATGAAATTCAAGACGAAATATGGAAAACAATGACCAAATGACGCATGGAAAACAATATTTGGTGCATTTTTCTGTGACAAGATCAGCACGCCAGGATATACCGGCTCTGTCGCTTTGCTTCAGCTACAGAAGTCTTCTACTCGCCTTTCCATGTTGCCCGAGGCCGAAAATTAAGAACATGAACGCTTGCGTAAGAGAAGTGTAAAAAAAAACGTATGTGTTGACCTGTATACGCATTTGCAGGTCGAAAAGACACCTGGACTTTTTTCGCACCGGCACCAAGGCCAACCATTGTGCATGTTATGAAACGGTGCCCGCCAACGGACACCTATTTATGAGTGATCTCATCCAATTAGATGTGCAGTTAGGATTAGCATAGCAGTTAATCACGTCACCAAGGAGTCTGTCCTTTGGTGAACGGTTGTCTCTTGGAGACACCCCTCAAATATATATAATCCCCTTTACAGATCAATGAAAGGTTGTTGTTCCCAAAATCTTGTTCATTTATATTCACTGTTTAACACGTTAGCACGTTATCAGCACTGTTCTAGGACAAGCGAAAGAGAACGACGACGACAGAGGCACATGCCCCTGAACCCCCATCGGTAAGCATGGCAAGAATTGACTTACCGTTACATGTTGTTCGTCAACTATTCTTCGCCCTTCGCCGCGTCGGTGGAGTTCGCCGTGGCCCGATCCGCCACCACAGCCACCATGGACAACGCCGTAGCGTCTTCGAGCGCCTTGGGCCTCGTGTTCGCCGCAACAGTGCCCATGGTCATGGCCATGGTCCTTTCGGCCGCCTCTTCGACTCCGCTGTTCGTGACTACCGTTCCAATGCAGTTCCTCGCCGCCGATGGACTCCTGTTCGTGGCCGCCATGCTTCTCCTCCGCACGATCTTCATCTGCAGAGCCAGCCACCATCTCCTCGCCTTGGCTAGGACGGTGCCGGCCCCAGCAACGATGCGCCTCCTGCGGTTGAAGCCCTGGCGCCACCAGTCGTGGAAGCCCCGGCGCCGCCCGTTGATGAAGTGGTTGCCGAGACCGTCGCTGTCCCCGCATACATACCCATGGAGCCGATGTCGCCAGCACCGGCACCGCCTCGCTACTGGTGTGACTTCTGCAAGGAGTACACGCAGATTCCACACACGCTGGAGTACAACTACATGTTGCCATCGCCCATACCGGTCGATCCGACCCAAGTGGCGGCTGACAGTAGCATGCCCGGCGGCGTCCTCAATCCTTGGATCTTCAACACCGTCACTGCGCCGATGCTCCAGCAAGTCAAGACCGAGGAAGAGGACATGGTGGCTGCCCCCAGCATCGGCAACCTCTTCAACCCCGGCGGCACGCGCGCGGCCAGGACCGGCGTCCCACTGTACAACTTCTTCGACGCGGCCGGCCCCTCAGCTCCACCTCCGGCGGCGACTCCACCAACGGCTCCTCCTCCGCCTGTGACCCGCGCGGAGGCTGCGGCCCGCATGAAGGAGCAGGCTCTTCCGGCGGCTCCTCCAACTTCTGCTGAGGGCAGCGCCACCATGCCCCCCACGATTCGCCACCTTCTCAGCCGCAGGGTGGCCATCGTGGACAGGCCCCCGGGGATCCGCCGGGGGACTTGGAACCCAGCCATGCTCGGCCTCCCATCGGCGGAGGTGCTCAACATGGCTAGCGGCGGCAGCGGCTTCTACTCCCCCGACGTGGGGGAGTCCTCCTCAAACTGAAGACCGGCGGCAGCGGTGGCGCAGTGGAGTGCGACGGCGAGGTTGTTTGAGACGGCGGCCTCCGAAATCGGTAGCGGCGGCGAGCGGTTAGGGTTTCAACCCTAACTGCCACCCGATCCCCCCTCCTTTTATGGGCTGCTGCGCGCGACATGGGCTGGCCCAAGGCCGGTGCCCTGCCCTCCTCCACTCTCTGCGCCTGCCCGAATGGGCCAAGCTGGGCCCAAAATCGAAAATGGGTTCAATCCCATTCCAATGGCCTGGCTGGCTCCTTATCTTCTTCTTTTTATTTATTTAATTTCAGCATTAATTCATCAATGACTATCTTAGTCTCTTATAATTATGTGCTGTAAAATTAAGTACTCTTATGTTTAGTCGCTGACTTTAACTATAGTTGTACTTGTGATATTTTATCATTGTAAAATATCCATTTATGATATTATTCAAAGTATTTGTTCCTGTATGTATGGCAAATCCAATAAATAATATCCTTGTTATTACGACCATGATCTTGCAAATTATTTATTCATTAATAACTTTTGCAATGGATCATTTTATTTAAGCCCCTTTTATGTTTTTTGACTTTAAAGCACTACGCGCTTAAATAATGGATGCGACATTTTATGTATATTTTCTCATCAATTGTAAAACGCGCATGTTCCCTATTTGTTTGTTGGTCATACACAGGTAGCACTACTGTTGCTACTGCAGGATCTACACTAAGTAAACACTTAGTGACTATCCTCAACGTGCGTACCCAACATAACAAATAAGAACATTTGGTCTACATCTTTTCACAAAGATGACTACCGTTAATTCGCAGTCCTATTGGCCATACACAAGGTAGCACCATAGTTGCTACTGTGGGATCTACACTAAGTCCGTAACTTAGTGACTATCCTCAACGTGCGTACCCAATTCATTTGCGAATTGACTAAGGTCTACATCATTCTTGATGACTACCTTAAGACGTGTTTATACAACTTGCATAATTACTTGGCATCTACTGTTAATACAGACTATACCCAATTTGAGGCCTACACTTTTATGGTGACTACCTCCATTATTTCATCATGCACATGAGATCTTTATAACATCAAT